GGGGGGGGGGGGGGGGGGGGGCAGTGATTGTCTTTTCTTTGTTCCATCTATTAAAAAGCACTGCGAGGTGAAGATGACTATGGGGTAATGGGGAAAGCTGACAGAAATAATAGGGGGCAGGTCAGAAAGTGTTCAGATTCCTAATATATACTAATTACGCACACACAAAACACACAAGCAAACAATACACGCACGCACACACACGCATGCACACACATTACAGACAGACAGACAGGCAGACAGGCAGGTAGATAGACAGGCAGATAAATACTTTATGCAATCACTCATTATTTTCAGTATTTCGTTCTAACCTCGTTTATAAAGCAACAACAAGTTTACAAACCAAACTGATTATCTTTCATTATCTCTCCTCCCCCCACTCCCCCCCATCCCCCAATACCTTCACGTGTAGGTGGTTAACGGGTGCTCTGGTGTGGTTTGCTTCTTCTTTCCTATGAAACATCTATCGTCCTTATCTCCCCTTCTTCTTTTTTATATTTGTTACTCTCTTGTACAACCACTAATCTTCTGGCACTCATATAACCTTATGCAGTTGTGAACGCCGTAAACCTCAACTAAAACTTTTTAAAAAAATACCTTTGCGTTCCAGGGACCCATCAGGATCCGCCCCTCTCTCGCCCGGCTCCAGCTATGGCAGTCAGAACTCCATACAGATCGACTCGGGCTTCAAGACTGCTCCAAGGGGTGGCAGCAGCAACAACAGCGGCAGCAACATCGTGTTCAGCAGCGGCAACGCTACCCCCAACTACAGCACCACACCGCGCAACTACGGCTCTCAGATCCAGCAGTCTCAGCCTCAGTACGGCACGCGGATCGAAATACAAAGAGTTGCCCCCTCTCAGCCGCAACAACAACAACAGCAGCAGCAGCAGCAGCAGCGACAGCAACCTCAGAGAAGCTTCAGCAACAATTACAGCAACGACTACAACGACAGCGGCGGCGTGAGCTTCCCCGACTACACACTGGCGTACAAGCAGCAAGGTCCTGTACACGACTCGCCGGGCGGGCCCGTGGATCTGCGCGGAAGTAGCGGGGATCTCCACTACGGCGGCGGTGGTGAGCCGGCCAGCCAGCCGAGCCAGCCTCCTCAGAATATATCCTACAGCACGCAGTCCCTTCCTAGAGGTATGGGCGGATACAACAACAGCAACAACGCGGCTGCTGACAGGGATGCCTTTAGCGGGTTCGGCGGACCTCCGGCTTACGAACCTCGATCCTACAATGCCCCACAGCCTTCTTCCTACAGTCCCGGCTACCCCGGGGACAGCAACAGGGCAAACAGCAGCGTCGGCTTCAATACTGGAATACCTTTCCAGGCTAGTCAACCACAGCAGCAGCAGCAGCAGAGACAACAGCCACAGCAGCAGCCTCAGTCCTACGCCAGCCCAGCTGTACAACAGGCGTCCTACCAGCCGTCGCCCTCCTACAACAACGCGCCACAGAGCTACAACACCCCAGGAAGCGCCGGGCCCATGAGTCCTCAGCCTTATTCGAACCCCATGAGCCCGCGCAGCCAGCCAAACGTCCAACCAGCATTCAGCAATAGCGTGGACAGACGCCAAGCTCCATCACCTTACGGCGGCAACGTAGACACCGGTACGCCGTCCAGCAACTTCTACCAGAGCAACAAGCAACCGTCTTCGAATTACGGCGGTAACGACAATAGCTTCAGAAGCGGTGGTTTCGACCAGTCCAACCTTCACGGGTCTGGAAGCAACATATATGCCACCCTGCCTCACACGAAACCGTCCTCGTCATACGGAAGCCCCGCCAACAACAACAACAACAACAATAACAACAACAACAGCAACACCCCCAGAGTGGCGACAACGGCAAATTTCAACCTTTACAACAGTGCCCCCCAGCCCTACTCTGCGCCAAAACCTTTCACGCCGACACAGCCAAGCAACAACTTCTCCCCCACACCGTCCTACACCGCCAATAACAGCGCCCCTACCCCCTATTCGCCGGCGCCCTACTCTGCAGGCCCCAAGCCCTACCAGAGCCCAATGTCGCCTGTGTCCAGCTCCGGTCAGCAGCAGCCTCTGACACGCCGGGTCAGTTTTGACCAGAGTGTCCCCGACAACAGCGGCTCCTCTTTCAGTCCAAGAGGCTACCACGTCAAGTCTCCCCCACCACCCCCCGCCCCGGTCCCGGCCCCCTACACCCCCGTCAGCCCCGGATACGGGCAGCACGACGCCGACTTCCCGAGCCCTCCTGGAATCACCGACTTTGGAGCCCCGCCACAGCCTCAGCCGTCCTTCTCCCGCCAGTCGTCCAGAGGAAACAACCCCTACTCTTCGCCCTCTCCCTACGGTGCGCCCCCTGGTGGACCTATGAGCCCCAGTTCGGGCACCGGAAGTGGGTACGGTCAAGGATACGGCGCCAACAGAGGTTACGAGCCCGTGGGTGTAAGTTCGGGCATGGACAATCTAAATTTAGGTTCACCAGCGGCGTATGAACCTCCACCCCCTCCCGCACCGGTGCCACCCCCACCTCCCCCTCCTCCGCCACCACCGTCAGGGCCCCCACCTCCCCCAGCCCCTCCCCTCAACAACTGGAACCCCACTCCGTACAGAAGGCCAAATACACAGGTGAGCATGCAGCCTCGTCCTCTGATTGATCCAGACTGGGAGAGTATCATTGATCACCTTTGTAGTTTAATTTCATTTTCTTATTTAAATACTGAGATGCACCTTAGCATAACAGTTTCTATTTCAATTCAAATATTGAGATACTGATTGGCTTTTCGAATATCCGCTTGAAGTGCATGACCCTTAGCCTTAAGGGTATGCACATGGGAAGAAAAACAAATGTAATGTCCTTTAGGTGGGAAAGGCATAGTACCACTTAAAATTAATCTTGATGCTGTGATGCTACTCCATTGCAGTCCTTTTCAAGAATAAGTAGTGTTCAATGAAGCCTTTTCAAAGAGAATGGTTAGTCAGTTTCTTTTTTAAGTTCTTTCAACAATTTCATGAGTACTTTAGATGATGGTTGTACTTCAGAGGCAGTTTTTTCTTTTAAAAAATCTCCTTTTAAAAAAACGTGTTAGTGATTGTAAAGAGTAAAACGAATCTGCCTTTACTCTTAAAGAACTCTCTCAGTCTGTGAATTGTGCTTCCATTACCTTGATTGCACGTTTCATCTTTGAGTAAAGATATCACAATGCTATCCTTAGTGAGTGCATATATGTATCACCATCCTCTCGGGACCCACCAGAACACAGCGAAAGCTGACCCCCCCCCCTCCCACCTCACCCCTCAGATTTACCTCTTTTCCATACTTGTCAACTATATTATTTTATGGATATTTCTAACATTCCCACGAAGCTCTTGTTTCCTTCCTTCTACCCTTCCTTCCTTCCTTCCTCCATCCCATCCTTCCTTCCATCCTTCCTCCTTGCCCTCCATCCTTCACTTCTCTTTAACTTCCATCCACCCCCCCTACCTTTCTTCCTTCCTTCTTTCCTTCCTTCCTTCCTTCCAGTCTTGTGCTCCTGCAGCGATTGTCCAGAACTGACGACCGATCTCCATCCGCCGTCTGATCTTTTTCCTGCAGTACTATGTATGAACCCCCCCCCCCCCAAATCTGCACGTCTTCTTCTCTCAGCATACGACCCATATTATTATATGTATGGTTTCTTCATCTCCCTGTACCTGGCAGCCCATCCTTTGCCGCCTTCTTCAGTTATATATGGTGTGCCCCTCTTCTGTACATGCCCATAGTAATATCATTATTATTTCGATATCACGTCACATCTCTCTCTCTCTCTCTCTCTCTCTCTCTCTCTCTCTC